AAAAAACTAAACAATCCAAGAAATCAATCTTCTTTTAATATTTCCTTTTCATTGTTTATCTTTTTTAGCTTGCATCCATCAAGGTGAGTCTGATGCAGTTGAATGATGAACTTGAGAACTGTATTTCTGCACAAGACTTTGCAAAAGCAGCTGAACTTAAACAGGAAATAACTGAGCAAGAGAATGAACGCAGTGCTATCAATGAGAGCTCCACATCAACCTCCMTGGCTGTCAGAGASGAAAAGGTTAGTTGAATTAAAACGTCTCACTGAATTTGATTTTTTTTTTTGTATATTTTTTTATATCTTACTGAATTTGATGCCATCTTTAATATATACATGTATAAGGTCTGCAGCCTAAATTGCCTCAAAGCATTCTCAGTTTCAAGGACAAAGTGTAATTATTGTATGGTGAACTTTTAAAACCAAAAGAGAGGGAAGAATTCTAAGTCAAGGTGGTTGGTTTATACACTCAGTCGTGCATGAAATGAGATGAGAGCATCCACCTTCTGGCAAGAAGAATGATTAAATGATSATTATGATGAAAGATTAAAATTGAGGATGTGAATTTTATAGTRSTTTTTATTTTTACCAGGATGACCCAGTTACGTTACTGAAATGCCTGACAATAGCATCAGAGATGTTGCAGTCTGTAACCAGGAATGGACTCAACCCTACACTGATGACACTTGTTGATACTCTGGTATGTTATCACAAATCTAACAGTGTTGTTCAGCTCCACWACAAAAAGAAAAAAAATGAACATTTTATTTATTACCTAGAAGAGAGGCTATGTATCCTGATGGTCAAAAAAGGTTTCCGCTATACCAACCTTTTCCAAAGGCATCCTAGGGAATCCAGGGGTAATCTTCTGTCGTTGTTTCTCATTCCCATTTTTCTGGGAACAAAAGAGAAAAGATTACCCCTGGGTTCCCGAGGATATTCCAAAGGCCTCAATCCGTTTCAAAGATAAAGGGCCGTATTTTACTGTATACAGACTACAAATTGTAGCTTGGTAGCGGCCCTAAAGGGATTGGGGAGGCCTGAAAGGATAATGTGGAGGAAAAAAAGGAATATTTATAGCTAATCTTAGTAAGATGAGCAAGGCAAAAAAGTCAATTTATTGTAATTCATTTATATCATATCTCTAAACAAACGTTAAAACAAGCAGCATTAGCATATACATTGCACTGTAAACGTTCAGTTGTCCTAGAAAAAGACCTTTTGCTATTTAAGATTTAATTAAGCTACAAAAGAAATAGCACAGTCTCAGTGGTCATCTTT